GTGAAGAATATTGCAGGGAAATAACAGAAAAAAACATTTGAAAAGGTAGGTTGTGGTTAAACCATGGGGGACCATGAGGTCCAGCATAAAGGTTCCTTGCAGGTTTCTGAGTGGGTTGGTGCTTGGACTTACCCTGTCTCCTGTAAGTGGGCAGAGGGTGAAGGGTACAGTCGTCAGGGCCCCGGATGGAGGCAGCTGTTCTTGCACGGAGGCTAAGGCAACTCGAGGGCTTCCCTGGTGGCACAGATGGTAAAGAAGCCGCCTGCCAATGAATGAGACCCAGGTTCGATCCCTGGGTGGGGACGATTCCGTGGAGAAGGGAATGGCCACCCACTGCAGTATTCTTGCCTGGAGAGAATCCCATGGACAGAGAAGCCTGGTGAGCTACAGTCCGTAGGGTTGCACAGAGTCGGACATGACTGAGTGATTAACACTTTGACTAGAAGGCAAGTGTAGGGGTAAAGACAGAGATCCATGATGCCAGGATACGGGGAGAAATCATGCTTGAAAGGGTGAAAGATGCTTTCTCAGAACATGAGGGGAAGGTGTTCCAACCACTAAGTAGACGCAGAGACTGGGACCGGAGGGAGCGGCTAAGGCGGCCAGAAGGTTCCAGATCTACAGGCTGCGGGGCTTGGAAAGACAGAGAGGGAGAAAGCGGGTGGGGCATGGTCAAAGTTAGGCTTTTTTTTTTTCTTTTTTTGAACCTGCAAAACAGAGGTGCTGCCAAACCACCCAAGTGAGTGAGCCATAAGCAACAGAGGTCAGGTTGGGTCTTGGGAGGACAAAGCTGAGATGTGGCCGCTGAGACTCGAGCACGGGGCGGTGGGAGCCACGGTGGGAGGTGATGCTTCATTGCTCACTATTATTTGCCTCCCTTCCCGGAGGAGAATGTCTCTCCCCGCCCTTTACAACCAGGCTCGACCATGCGACTCACCAGTGAAAGTGAGAGAAGAGTTACGTGTCACTTCCATTAAAGAACTGTAAAAGTCTACTGGTTCACACCCTTCTCCTCCCCTCTTCCAAAGAACTGGTGATGTCCACGTAGTGACGGCTTCATCAGCCTGACCCCAGGGTTAAATTAACACAGGAAAGAGAGCAGGGCTGCTATATGGGGTGTGAGAGAGATCACTAGTGGCTGTAAAAGTGGTGGTTTGTTACTGAAGTATCACCTAGCCTAACTAGCGGCTAGACCAGGGGAATGAATAAAAGCGTCCAGAAAGGGCAAGCAAAGGAAGACCGGAGGGTGATTTCCCACGAGACCTAATCCAGCAATTGTGAACTGTCATTTCACAGAGTCAGCGGAGTTACATTTCCCAACTTACTTTAAGTGTAATTTCTCAATACTGGGATTACTTTTTCTGTATTAAGAATTTGCATCAACATAAGGGAAAGGATAAATTAGGAGTTTAGGGTATATAAAACAGACAAATAGCAAGGTCCTACTGTATAGCACAGGGAACTATAGTCAATATCTTATAATTATCTATAAAGGAAACAATCTGAAAGAATATATATGTATACACACACACACATATATACACCTGTACCCTTGAAACTAACACAACATTGTAAAATCAATTATACTTCAATTTAAAAATAAATAAATAATTAAAAATCCTAAAACAGTTACTAGACAAAGTTGAAATATTCTTGAAATATTCTGCAATGAACAGTAATCACCCTCCCATACCAACAAGTCTGCGTTCCAAATATTTTTAAAAGTTTTATTTTTGCTTGTAAATTTTTCTGTTAAATTCACCAGCCTAGCACTCCTCCTTAGACTGAAAGAACTAAAATCAGGCATCGCTCTCAAGGAGAGTGCTCTTGCTTAGCAGCGGGGGAAGAAGGCTTTCTGGGAGCCGCTGGGGGCTGGCCACCGGACGCTGTCTACTGCTCACCACTGCAGCCTGCAGGCTGAAGGGACGGAAGGGAGTTCCAAGATCAGGAAGTCAGGGGACTAAGAGTTTAGCCAGCAGATCATGTCAGATATTTGTTAGCCTAAGACAGCAATTAAAACCCATAATACATGATATAGGGATTTCAAAGGAACTATTTGCCTAAATTATTTTTTAGTAAGTAGATTTGGAATGAGAATTTGTTTTTCATGAGTATTCTATTTCTTGTATTTTAGAGAATCCAAAGCAATTTTTAAATTCAAGTCCACACCACTTCTTTCTCGTTTTTTGCTTTGCTTTGTTTTTCACTATTGTTGCCCAACTTTCTCTTAAGATTCTTGTCTATCAAATCACTGTTTACTCAAGCAGTTTTTAAAGGCAGTTGGTTTATATTTACATGTATATAAGTTTGGCAAAATTAGTGAAAGTGATTTAACCTTTCTGTACATTTTATGCATGCATAAATCACACACCTCGGTACGTTAAGCAAGTTACAATTTGTTATTATTAAAACATACAGGGTCCCTGATTTCTGACTCTTCTCTCTCTCTCTCCTTCTGCTTCCATGTATTTAAGTATTCTAAGAAACTAGCTCAGAGACCCATTGTGTTTTTAGAGCCGTACCCCTTTCTAATCAGTATGAGCACCCAGACAGTAATAAAAGGACAGCTAAGAGCTTTAAGAAAACTCCCGTTTGCCGGCATAGGTGCCTTGGATTCATACTGCAACAAAATGGGATGAGAGTCTGTAATATTCCAAGAGCTTTCTGGGCTACTTTTCATAGGTAGTTTTGCAGAAATCCCAGGGAAGGATAGGATTTGGCCTAAGACATCCAGTGAGTGTGCTGGGATTGTCAGTCTTTCCACCTGTATAATCTGTCTCTTTGCAAGCAGAGGCCCCCATAGGTCAGGAAGGCAGTGCCCTTCCAGACGTCCATCACCTCCTTCTTTTGGCTTTAAGATATTGGTACTAACTTTGCAGACTTTATTTTCCCTCTGGCTTCTAAAATTTTCTCCAGCTCCAGCTAGAAAGGGCCCTTCACCATTTCAGCACCACTCCAACCACTAGGTCAGTCTGGTGTCTCCACTGGGAAGCTATTTTATGTCGGCTATTTCCCACTACCCAACTCCAAGTAGTTTCCACTCATCCTCTTAGAATACAGAGCCCTGATGGCTGTGATCCTTCCCATTCTAGGCCCTAAGGTGAGGGATGGAGGTATGCATTCACAACTCATTTATGTAACAGAGATGAACTCACAAGGGAGCCTTTCTTAAGCCTAATGAGCAGCTCTACTCAGCATGTATGTATGTATGTATGTGTATATATATATACACACACATATATATATATGTACATATATATACATGTGTGTATACATATATGTATGTATATATATTAAATGGAGCTCATTCTCAGTGTAGAGGGATTTTTTTGCATTTTAAAGAAAAGCGAAAAGTAACTCAAACAGCCACTATTGATAAAAATGTCTAGGAATAGAAAAGTTTGAGAGCAAGCAAAAATTTACATCAAACTCTGGACACTAAACTCATCTTTTTATATCAAATCTTTTACGTCAAATTTACATCTTTATTATTCCTACCTACCATCATTTTGTAAATGAAATATAGATCTTTGTGGCGAGCATGGCTTTAGGGAATCCCAGTTTGTGCCCAAATATCTGGGATAAAAATGACACTCATTTGCTTCATGATTTCTCCTACAGTCCCCAAAATAAGGCAGTGAATTTTCAATTAACAGAGAAAAGGGTAATGTTTTCCATACAAGGTCTTACATCTGAACTAATATGATGGTATGATTCAGCTGTTACTCAGACCTTCAAAGAAATGAACATGACAATTTTTTTTCCTTTTATATGTTGGGATACAAAATTGGATGAATCAGAGTATTAAAAGGGTGAGAGAAAATGCAGCCAACAGTTTACTCAGCACCCACACCCTGTGAGACCTGGGGCCCGGGTTCAAAGGCAACAAGAGGTCCCAGCTTCAGAGAAGGCACAGGGTCCTCACAGAGGAGGCAGACTGCATCCGCAGTGATGCTCGCGTGAAGCGTATAAAATGCATTCTGGGGACTCAGGGGAATGCCATCACCCCTACAGACTCACACAGGACCAAGCATCTCTGCAGGCCCTCTGAGGGCGATGTGAATGTCTCACAGGTGTACCTTGTGTAATAAAGCTGCTTTAATCTGTTGTGTTCATTCACTGTTGTTTTTATATTTTCATCAGCCAAGGCCAGCAGATCTCTTCCAGGTAAGACATTACCACCGACAACAACATCAATGCTTCCTGCTATCCGTGGGGCCTGGGAAGCCACTGATACATAGCAGCCCCTGTATTCTTAGAAAGTGATTTATTCAAGGCGCATCCATGGATCACACTGCTTTCCTTTTATGTAAGTTCTGAGGACCAAGGGTCTTATATTTTAAAATGCCAGCTTACAGAAACCTCCCTGGCTTCCCTTGTTATGAATAAACTGGTTGTTTGAGGAGCTGTGTCAAGGGACCCTTCATAAGCCATTATTTCACAGTGAGGACTGTTAAAAAGAATAATTGGCATCAATAACACTTACCTGTATATGCAGAGGGAAGGTTACCCAGCCATAACAAGCCCAGCTTCACACAGCCACTACTTAAGAGAATGCAATATTTGGGATTTATGAGGATAAGCCCTGTCAGTAGTAATGCCCTTACGGGGGCCTTCGCGATTCATTTGGCATAGTCTGCTGTGCACTCACAGGTGAAGCAAACCTGCCATGCAGTTCTGGGCGAGGATGCTGCATCCAAGATGCAAATGACACGCACTGAAAGGTTGGCTTCTCAAAAAGGGCTGGGACTTCAAACGCCCTTTTGACTCTTGTGTTCCTCAAAAGCAGCCATTGGACTGCTTCCAGTACAAAATCTGCAACATCACTAGTGATCATCTGTCTCTCAAGGGTACTGGAGAAGTGGGGGCGGGGGGCATTACCATCACACAGAGAGGGGGCAGGCGTGAATCAGGGTGGCAGGGACAGCAGCTGCGGACCAGGGAAGCAGCCCCACGCGACAAGGATGAGGGGGACAAGACAACAAAGAGCGCCGAGTAACCTGTTTTGTCAGAGCTGGAAGTGATGGCATTGGTGGTGATGGAGGTGAAGGTGGCCTTTGCGCTGTCCTTGGCAGTGACAGATTTCTGCTTATTTTTCATGGCTTCCAGCGCTTTGAGCTTCTTGGCATGTTTCGTGCCTTTGTAGTGGGCCGCAGCCTGGCTCTACAAAGGAGAACAAAATGAACCGTGCAATCAGGCTCATTTCTAAACTGGCATTCTCTGTATTACTGCAAATACAGACTCCCTTTCAATAATAGGTACCATTCAAGCTAATCCTGGCTGTGGTCAAGCAGTGGGGTTCTATTGAGAATGATGCTACGAGGCAGTGGGAAGCAAGTTCTAAACCCTCTGGATGGAAGGGAGAAATAGTCTATCGCCTCTCTTCAGAGAAATGGAGCTGCACACTAACATATCAACAACATTTTCTTTGTGGAGTGGGGGAGATAAATAAGAATTTACAGCCGCATTGCTTTTGTTCTGTCACCAAAGATGCTGGGCTCCCAAGATTAACAAGGGCCCTGGCAAAGAGCAGCTCTCACCTTCTTGGCTCAGGAAATCTGTTTTCTCCTTCTACAATGGGTCTTATTGACACAGGACCCAACAGGTGTCTATCAGGCAGGAAAGATTCACCGATAGCAACACGAGTAGGCACCCCAGAGACGGGGACTGAAGCGTGGGAATTCAAAAGTGAATGCCCTGTGAGGTCCAAATGGAGCCACGGAAGCTGGGCAGCTTTACCCTTCCTCCCTTTTCCTTGCTTCTCACAGAGGGTGGTCTGAGAAGTCCAAGGCAGGGGCATTCTTACAACACGTGGGTCTTTTGTGCCCTGGTCCACTGCCAGGAAGAGCCACTGTGTTTTGACTACTTCATGGGGCCAATGCAATACTTTTGTTTGTGCTTTCTCAGATTCTTGTAAATAGCAATATGCATTTTCCCACATTTATATTTTCTTAACATTATTTTTTGGTACCAGAGAGACATTAGGTGAGTTAGAACATCATCCTAAAAATGTGTTTATTAATATTAATTTATTTACAACTCCCCCATGGAGGGGGGCCTATCATGGCTTAAGGTGAGGTGGAAGCAGTCAGGGAGATTTTAGATTGGAAGGTTTTCCAGTTCAAAAGCTTTAAAATTGCCACCTCACAAAGAAGAGATCACAGTGGAGGACTAAGTATACAGACATCACTTCCCATGACTTATTCAATCTTAACGTTCCATTTTGCCAGAAAATAATAGTCACACTGTCCTCTTTGTCACAGCAACTGTGATAGGGAGGGTGTTGTGGTACAATGTCTTTTTTATAAATAGAGAAATATAAAATCCACACCTTCATTTGCATCATTCTGATAAGTATCCTCAAAGGCCTAGGTACCCTTATTGAAAGAACACTGGACAAGGAAACTGTATATTAGAAACAGTTTGAACAGAAAGGACACTCATGCATCAGTTTTCCAACAACACATAACATCAAAAGACAGAGTGTGGGTCAAAATCTGAAGTTAAGGCTTGTTATCGTTCATTGAGGAACACAGATTGGATTAGTTTGAGCCTACATGGAGAACACTATTTTGAAGGACGGAGCAGTGTCCCTTTTTTCTCTTGCCTGACTTATTTTTAATAAATCAAATCCTTTGGATATATCTTTTGAGGGCATGATGCTATATTCAATTAGATCGATGACATGTAGTCAGTCATCTTCTCCAGAAAGCTCAGAACGCACTTTCCCTTAGAGCAAAGTTCATTTCCCTCTCCTGGTGCAGAAGTGAACACTGCACATACAACACATATTAAAATATAGGTGAGATGAACAGTGCTCTCCCCGAATGTACTTTCAAAATGTACATTTAATGCATATTTTAAGGTACCTGGCAAACCTATACTCTTAGTGGTATTTCCAATCAGATAAGACTTTAATACACCATCGGACCAAGTGATTGTCACTCTTCTGAATATTAAGAAAGTTACTCCAAAGGAATACTGCCAGTTAAGAGTGTACTTACATAAAAAAAATAAATAAATACTCTCTGCACAGATACAGCTGAACCCATGCTTTTGGCAAGTGAAACAGCTCAGGGTGTTGTGGGGAGACGGAGGAGATCAAATCACCAGCCGTCAGTGGGTCCCAGTCAAGACCCGACATGTGAAACAGCAAAACAAAACAAGACAAAAAGCATACTCACTCATTAACTGAACTACAGTCCCAAAGCACTCGGATAATAATTATCTTAATTAAAAAAAAATCTCCTATTAAAAAAGCAACTGAGCCTTCCACAGATTAAAAAAAAGAAAAAAGTTGAGTGGTACAAACATCCAAAATGCTCTGGAGAGACCGTGACGTGTAGACTTTCAGGAAATGAGGAAGCAGGGTGGAGGCTGACTGTGATGCCGCCGAGGATGTGTGTGTTGGGTGTGGATGTGGGTCTACATGTTGGAAATGCAGTGCAGACAGATAACCCTCTGGATATTGCAAATGTTCTTTGTCATCGATCCTTATGTTTGGAGAATTTATTGGACTGCTCTTGCATTAATTACACTGGAATTAATTTCTATATCTATACACAACTGCATCGCCACCCTAACTTTTTAAATGTTCTTTTACACTGTGGCTTGTTGTAGGATACTGACCATAGTCTGCTGTGCTGCACAGTAGGACTTTGCTGTGAATCCATCCCATACACAACGGTCTGCATCTGCGAACCTCACCCTCTCACACGGCTCCTCCCCCACCCCACCCCCCTTACAACAACCCGTCTGTTCTCTGCGACCATGATCCTGTTTCCGTTTCATAGATAGGTTCATCTGTGTAATATTTAGATTCCACATAGCAGTGACGCCGTACAGTACTTGTCTTCTCTTTCTGACTTACTTCGCTTAGCAGGGTCATCTCTGTTGCTGTTTAGGCACTCAGGTGTGTCCAACCCTTTGCCACCCCAGACTGTAGCCCGCCAGGCTCTGCTGTCCACGGGATTCTCCAGGCAGGAATACTGGAGTGGGCTGCTATTTCCTTCTTCAGGACATCTTCCTGGCCCAGGGATCGAACCCGGGTCTCCTGCACTGCAGGCGGATTCTTTGCCACTGAGCCACAGGGGAAGCCCATGATGATATCTAGGTCAGTCCAGGTGCCCGTGATGATATCTAGGTCAGTCCAGGTCTGCCAGCCTCTTAACTCTTGGCTCATCTTGATACAGGTGTGTTGCATAAAGGTGTGTTCTTGTGTAAGGAAAGAAGGTCCATCCAGCTCTCCTTACCCCATTACCCCATTTCACTAGACTGGACAGATTTTTCAGCCACATCTAATCTCTCTGTGATTGTAGACAAAACTTCAACCTAGGGAGGAATCCTTCTGGGAGAATTTTTTTAAAAAGCAGTAGTAGGCCAGAGATGTCTCTTAGGAGCTCATCTGCTTTCCCTTTGGGCAGAAGGGTGCTGGGTGTGGGTAACCTTTCCCTCCAAGGTTGTCTCTTATTATTTATCAGCCAGTCTCTGAGTCAGCTCATCCCCAGAAACCTGGGAACACAAGCGGACAATTATTTTTCACAGGAACGATTTCAAGATTAAGTAAGTCTATGACTTCATCACAGATGTCAGAACTCTGCATTTTAAAACTCAAAGAGAATTAAGGGATTAGAGTACCCAGAGAAGGGAGCAGTCAAAGAAAAAATTGGTTTCAACAATTTGGCTTCAAATTTGCCAACAAATTTGGCTTCAAAAAGATGCTTCTAGATCGTAGGTGGAATATTCAGGTATTGCGCAATAAAAATCACTACTATTGACCTTGAACTAGCAGATGACACCATGAAATCTAACAAGTGTCATCCCAGAGGCAAGTGCTGACATTAAAGATAATGTACACACATTCCTGCCAAAAAGCGTGCAGCCACTTTAAATGTCATTCCCATATCCGTCATCAGCAGCCAGTCAGAATTTTCAGTCTTCAAGTTTTGTCTTTAGCATTTCAAGAAGTCTTCCAGTTTAAGTGCAGCGGAAGTTCCAGAGCAGATAAAAATAAATGGCGAACATTTATTGAAAGAGGTGCTTCAACATTTTGAAAAAAATGTACACACACACATTTATTTTACTTAAGTTTTGTTATAAATCACTATTTTCCGTGAAGCTTACTGCAGATTTAATGTATATGTACGCTTTTGGTCCATTATCACCAATACCTTATACAGTTTTACTCTACCTGTCTTTTGCATAAAGTGTCTTAACATGATTTTTTAAAAATAGGAGGTTTACTATAACCAGACATATCTGATTATGTGACGAATTAATTTTCACAAACATGATTTCAAAAAGAACAAGACGAAATTTGCTAGTTTCTGACATCATTTAATTGGGTCACATTAAATTTTTACTAAGAGAAAATGAACATTATCCTATTAAAATGTAACATCAGAAAAATAAGGAGTGATTATCCAAGAAGTTACCCCTTTGGGGAGAGAAGAGATTTACTACTTGAAGACAGGAAATCTTTTTTTTTTTAATGTATTTATTTACTTACTTATCTTTGGCTGTGCTGGGCCTTCACCAGTACAAAGGCTTTTTCTCTGGCTGTGGCAAGGGAGGGCTGCCCTTCGGCTGCCCAAGCTTCACCTTGCGGGAGCTTCTCCTAGTGGAGAGCACGGGCTCTATGTTACATGGGCTCCAGCAGTTTCTGCCCAAAGGCTGAGCCGCTCTGTCGCATGGGGGGGATGGGGAGTCTTCCTGGATCAAGGATCAAACCTGTGTCTTCCGACTGGCAGGCAGATTCTGTACCACCGAGTCACTAGGGGAGCCCTCTTTTCCCGTTTTTAAAGATAATTATCTGATTTCAAAATGTTAGACTGTTTTGTAGATCAAAAATCATGAAATGATAAAATAATATAGTATCCTGAAAACTAAAACACCTACTTTAGATTTTTATTTTGAAAACTATTGACAAACTATACCTGGGAAAAAAGTTTAAAGTCTGTGTTTTTCTCCGAACAGTTTTCCTTATGTTAAATACACTCACTCGAATCTAATACCCAGGGCAGCTGCCCAGGATCAGCCAGGTGGCTTAAGATCGGGGCGCGTTCCCACCGGCCAGTGGCTTGTAAATATTTTAGAGACCACTTTTATATATACCAATAGAAGGTTTTTAAGGTTTATAATGATTCTCTTTAATTTGTTTATTA